GAAAAAAAAAAATTAAAAAAAAAAAAAAGAAAATAAATGTTAAAGAAAAACAAATTTTTAAATAAAAATTAAAAAAAACAAAACTCTCTTCTTAGATTTGGCTTGACTGACACCTATGCTCACCTGGTTCTCTTTTTCCTCCACTGTCACAGCCTGGCCCTGGGTCCGACCTTCCATCTAGCCTTTCACTGCAAATGCACTGCAAGCTTCTGTCCTCAGCCCTCTCCTCACTACACACCCTCACAGAACAATCTCAACCTGTCAATGCTGCAACACCTTCCAAAACCTCAAAAATCCCCACAACATGCCCTCTCCTTCCGCCCTCCTCCTTGTCCCTTCTGATGCCAGACACATATATGCAACTGCCTACTGACAGTTTAGCTAGAAAACAAAAAGCCAGAGAGAGGATAAGATTGCTAATTTCTGGGTGCCTGGGTGGCTCAGTTGGTTGAATGTCTTGATTTTGGCTCAGGTCATGATCCCAGGGTTCATGGGTTCGAGCCCCACATCAGGCTCTGTGCTGACAGTGCAGAGCCTGCTTGGGATTCTCTTTCTCTTAAAATAAACTTTAAAAAAAAGAAAAAAAAAAGATTCTAATTTCCTATATTTGAAAGGAAGTCAGGACCACAGAGCAGACCAGGACCATGTGGGGGTAGATTTCAACTCAAAACAACGGAGAATTTTCTCACAAAGACCACTAGCCAACAGTGGATGGGCCCCTTCTGAGGCAGTGACTAGAAGAAAGGATTCTTGCACATCGTACAAGGCCAAACTAAGCAATATTAATAGTCTCTCCCTATGAGATTGATACTTCTCAGCTCAGCATTCAGAGATTTAAAAAGATAGATATTTGTTGTTGGGTTTGTTTTTTTTCATTTTGAGTACCTAAAAGCACAATTCATTTTAGGACACTGATTAGAAATCATTGCAGGGCACCTGGGTGGCTCAGTCGGTTAAGTGTCCAACTCAGTTTCAGCTCAGGTCATGATCTCACAGTTCGTGAGTTCAAGCCCCGCATCAGGCCGTGCACCGCAGAGCCTGCTTGGGATTGTCTCTCCTTCTCTCTGCCCCTCCCCTGCTTGTGCTCTCTCTCTCTCTCAGAATAAATAAACTTTAAAATTTTTTTTTAAAAGAATAAAGAAATGCTTGTTCTCATGCCGGTCTAATCAGCTCTGACACTGGGAAGAGGAGACAAGGCAGAGCAGTATAGTGACAGGGTCTATGACTGTCCCATCAGCAAGGATAGTGGAGGGGACATTTTTTCTCCCTAGGACAGTTTTGGTCATGAGGCCCCTCACAGTGAAAGCCACTGCTTTCCCTCATCAGGTTCTGCCTTGCTCACACACTTTGTGGGGCCTCTGAAAAATCATGTAAATGGTTAAATGCTCATTTAACCACTATGGAGCTGACTCAGATTTCAGATTTGAAACTTGTTCTTGAATCAGCTTCAACAGGGAGGCAGGGAGGTTAAGAAGCAATCCCTGAGCTTGCCAGAGAGGCAAAGGTGACTTACTCTGGTGCATCGCAGACCTGCCAACGCGTGGTCCCCAGATCCCGCCTCTAGGCGTGTTCTCACACAGGGGTGAGCAGCCAAGGAAAGCAGACTCCAAAGTCATGTGTGGGTTTAGGGCACGGTTCTGCCACTTCCTGGCTGTGAGATCTTGGAGAAGTCCAAACATTTTGTCTTTTTTTTCCTCATCTCTAAAATAAGGCAACTTAGGGGCACCTGGCTGGCTTACTCAGAGAGCATACGACTCTTCATCTCAGGATCGTGAGTTCAAGCCCCGTGTTGGGTATAGAGATTACTTAATAAAACTTTTTAAAAAATAAAATAAAACAAAATTAGGCAATTAAAAAAATAGCGACTTCAGGGGCACCTGGATGGCTCAGTCAGGTAAGCAACCGACTTCAGCTCAGGTCATGATCCCATGGTTCACAAGTTCAAGCCCCGAACCGGGCTCTGTACTGACAGCTCAGAGCCTGGAGCCTGCTTCGGATTCTGTGTCTTCCTCTCTGTCTGCCCCTCCCCCACTAGCGCTCGCTCACTCGCTCTCTCTCAAAAATAAAAATAACTTTTTTTAATAAAATAAAAAATAAAAAAACAGTGACTTCATATACGTAATTATAAAGAGTAAAAGGTTAAATGGAAAGCAGAGTTCAAAATCCTTTCATACCAATTGAGGGCTATATAATTGCTGGCTTAATTTATTTGCCATTTAGTGTTCCAACTTGCAGAAAGCCCTTGTTAACTGAGTGAACGGTCAATTTTTCATCAACAGGAAGAGAAATCAGTCACAAAGTCACCAACGTCTCTTGGATTCCAATCCCTGGCCAAAACATTATTTTCTTTCACAGAGTACTTTTAAGGGTCCATGTACCTCAAGCCTTCAAAATGTAAGCCAGGTAACTTTAACTGAAGGAGTAAGGCTTTATCTATAAGTATCTAATTAAAGGGGTGGGGGGGGGG